ATTTTTCTCCCCCTTTGCCTCCTCTGGGGCCGTTTTTTCTCATTTTTCTCCCCCTTTGGCTGTTCCTGGGGCCACTTTATTCTCGTTTTTGGCCGTTTTCTCTCATTTTTTGGCCGTTTTTCCTCATTTTTATCCCTCTTTGGCTCTTTCTGGGGCCGTTTTTCCTCCTCTTCCTGCCTCTTTGGCTGCTCTGGGACCATTTTCTTCTCATTTCTGGCCCTTTCTCTCTCTCTCTCTCCCCCTTTGGGGCTGTTTTTCCTCACTTCTCTCCCCCTCTGGGGCTGTTTCTCCCCATTCCTGGCCATTCCTGTCTTTCTCTCCTGTTCTGGGGCTCTTTTTTCCCATTCCTGACTGTTTTTCCTCACTTTTCTCCCCATTCCTGTCTCTCTCTCCCTGTTTGGTTGTTTCTGGGGCTGTTTTTCCCCATTCCTGGCCATTCCTCTCTCATTCTCTCCCTCTTTGGTTATTTCTGGGGCCATTTTTCCCCATTTCTGACTGTTCCTCTCTCCCCCTTCTTGGCCATTCCCGTTTCTCTCTCCCCACTCCTGGCCATTCCTGCCTCTCTCTCCCCCTTTGGGGTTGTTTTCCCCATTCCTGGCCATTCCTGTCTCTCTCTCTCCCTTTGGGGCCATTTTTCCTCACTTTTCTCCCCATTCCTGGCCATTCCTCTCTCTTTCTCCCCCTCTGGGGCTGTTTTCCTTCTCTCTCTCTCTCTCTCCTCCCCTTTGGGGCTCTTATTCCTCACTTTTCTCTCCCTTTGGGGCTGTTTCTCCCCATTCCTGGCCATTCCTCTCTCTCTCCCCATTCCTGGCCATTCCTGTCTCTCTCTCTCCCCCTCTGGGGCCATTCCTGCCTCTCTCTCCCACTTTGGGGCTGTTTTTCCTCACTTTTCTCCCCCTCTGGGGCAGTTTTTCCTCACTTCTCCCCCCATTCCTGTCTCTCCCCATTCCTGGCCATTCCTGCCTCTCTCTCCACCTTTGGGGCCGTTCCTGGCTCTGTCCCTGCCTGTCCCTGTGTCCCTCTGTCCCTGTCCCGTGGCGGGAGGATTGTCAGGCCGTGGAGACTGAAGGACCCCGACCCCGCTCACCTCTGGGGCTGTTTTTCCTCTCTCTCTCCCCATTCCTGCCTCTCTCTCCCCATTCCTGTCTCTCTCTCCCCCTTTGGGGCTGTTTTTCCTCACTTCTCTCCCCATCCCTGTCCATTCCTGGCTCTGTCCCTGGGTGTCTGTGCCTGTGGCGTGGCGGGAGGATTGTCAGGGCGTGGAGACTGAAGGACCCCGCTCACCTCTGGGGGTGTTTTACCTCTCTCTCTCCATTCCTGCCTCTCTCTCCCCATTCCTGTCTCTCTCTCCCCATTCCTGCCTCTCTCTCTCCCCCTTTGGGGCCGTTCCTGGCTCTGTCCCTGGGTGTCTGTGCCTGTGGCGTGGCGGGAGGATTGTCAGGGCGTGGAGACTGAAGGACCCCGCTCACCTCTGGGGCTGTTTTACCTCTCTCTCCCCATTCCTGCCTCTCTCTCCCCATTCCTGCCTCTCTCTCTCCCCTTCCTGTCTCTCTCTCCCCATTCCTGTCTCTCTCTCTCCTCATCCCTGTCTCTCTCTCTCCCCCTCCGGGGCTGTTTTTCCTCACTTCTCTCCCCATCCCTGTCCATCCCTGGCTCTGTCCCTGGGTGTCTGTGCCTGTCCTGTG